TTGTGAGATGCAGCAGCAGCAGTACCTGGCATAAGGCCTGGCTGGGTGTATGAGAGGTCACAGGGCTCTGAAGGTTGACATACCCGGGGAGCTGGCCAGCACAGCACGGCCTCTGGAAAAGCAATGCACCTCCAGTTCCTGCTTCTGGTCCTTCTGTTATTTCAGTTGTTGAGAAGAAACAGGTCTGCTCCTGTGACTGGTGCATGTTTGTCAGAGTTGCTTGTTTTTTAACTTTGTCACTTCGTTTTTTGCAGACTTTCAGGTCCCTGCAGGTCGGGGGGCTAGCTGTGAATTATTAAGTGGTATGGCCTTAAGAGAGAAGTAATAAGAGCAGTTTCTTCCATATTAGCAGGAATGGGCTCAGCTTGGTACCTTCTCTACTGTGCTGCTGAGGGATGTGATCGGGGGAGTCACAAATGATGGGATAACTGGTGACACAACAGAACAGATCACCAGCAGAAAATGAATGTGTGAACAAGTTGTGAAAGACGCTTTTATTTCCGAATGGCAAGACACCCATTGCAGAAAATAAATTACATGCTGCTGGGGGATATCTCACTGTCCTACTGAAAGAGGCAACATTTTGAAGTGAAGGAAAAGATAGTATGGAATAACACAGGCTCAAAATAATGAAAATAACTTTTCATTCTGATTAGAGTATACATATTCAAAACTGGAAAACAGACTTCCAGTAATGCCCAATAAACCATATATTTCAAAATACTTTTAAATATTAATACTTAAAATATCCTTTCTGGAGTATTTTTATAAATCTCTAACAAGAATCAAAGCCCCAGTAAGAAACATTTTTTCTTCTCCTTCTCCTTCTCCTTCTCCTTCTCCTTCTCCTTCTCCTTCTCCTTCTCCTTCTCCTTCTCCTTCTCCTTCTCCTTCTCCTTCTCCTTCTCCTTCTCCTTCTCCTTCTCCTTCTCCTTCTCCTTCTCCTTCTCCTTCTCCTTCTCCTTCTCCTTCTCCTTCTCCTTCTCCTTCTCCTTCTCCTTCTCCTTCTCCTTCTCCTTCTCCTTCTCCTTCTCCTTCTCCTTCTCCTTCTCCTTCTCCTTCTCCTTCTCCTTCTCCTTCTCCTTCTCCTTCTCCTTCTCCTTCTCCTTCTCCTTCTCCTTCTCCTTCTCCTTCTCCTTCTCCTTCTCCTTCTCCTTCTCCTTCTCCTTCTCCTTCTCCTTCTCCTTCTCCTTCTCCTTCTCCTTCTCCTTCTCCTTCTCCTTCTCCTTCTCCTTCTCCTTCTCCTTCTCCTTCTCCTTCTCCTTCTCCTTCTCCTTCTCCTTCTCCTTCTCCTTCTCCTTCTCCTTCTCCTTCTCCTTCTCCTTCTCCTTCTCCTTCTCCTTCTTTTTTTTTTTACTTTGAGACAGAGTTTCACTCTGTCACCCAGGCTGGAATACAGTGGTGCAATCTCTGCCCACTGAAACCTCCAGCTAATGGCTTCAAGCAATTCTCCTGCCTCAGCCTCCCATGTAGCTGGGGCTACAGTCACAAGCCACTATGCTTGGCTAATTTCTTGTATTTTTAGTAGCGACGGGGTTTCACCATATGACCAGGCTGGTCTGGAACCCCTGACCTCGGGGTGATCCACCCGCCTCGCCCTCCCAAATTGCTAGGATTACAGGCATGAGCCACTGCACCCGATCCGATTCTTATTTTAGAAAATTAAAGTTCATTTTGTTTATAGCAAGTGTGTTGGATTATAGTTATGTACATGATCTGTTCATTTCATCATTTATTGAATAAATCCATATCGAGTGACTTCTGTGTGTCAGGCATTAGAGCCACAACAATGAACAAGATATATATCCCCTGTCCTGGTTGGCTTATGGTCTAATAGAATAATAAATGATTACTGAATACTTTCACAGTCAGCATTTTGTATGAATAACTTTATGCAAACCTGGCAATAGTGCTATGCAATAGGAATTCTTTCCCTATTAAAAGATAAGGAAAATTAGGTTCAGAGGATAAGTAATTTGCCCAGACTTGCAAGCTAAAGAGTGGTTGAGGCAAAATTCAGACAAGATCTGGGTGACTTCCCCTGTACACGTTTAACTATGCATATTGGCACATGCTCCCATATTCTGTGGTCATTATTGAGAAGAAACTGTTAAATTAGATTCTAGCCCTAGAAAAGTTTTCTGTATTTTACTTACAATTTACTGAGATCTCTTGCTATATGTGGACACAACTAATCCTTCTTTTGGCCTATCCTACTTCTCTTCCAGATTATCTGTAAAGTTATTGGGTAAATAGACCAAAATATCACTGATGGACTCTATCAAAAGGAAAAATCAGAAGCAAACTTTCACAGAAATTGCTCTTAATTCTTCACCTTTATTTACATTTCTTTTTTTTTAATGGTCAGTGCTGCTTCCTTGCCCCTCAATACCAACACTACAGCAGCATCTCTTGCTTTTAAATGTGAATATCTGTGGGAAACATTTAGAATTTGCAAATTATAACAGTTTATTATTACACAAATTAGAATTTATTATTACACAAACTATGGGAACCACAGAATATGGGAACATGTGCCAACATGCATAGTTTACATAATAGAATTGTGTAATGATAAAAATTAAAATAATAATATATTATCTAAATTAATTTTTACAGTCAACTCCTGGATTGGCATTAAAGTTTTGGCATTTTAATGTGTTTGCTTTTTCTAACTTTCTCTTCATTAGAAGAACTCATCTCATTTTGTATGCATAACCCAATGAGAAGAATTAGAAACTATCAGTACAAAAAAATGATCAAATACACATGTTGTGACAGAAGTTTAGGTAGGTATAACGAATGTGTACACGTTTCCAACATTTCCACTTAGGTCTATATTTAGATAATAATGTGATGCACAATCAAAATAAAAAGCTAAAAATCTTTCCACAGATCATGTAATTGCTATTACTGTCCTCTAAAAGAATCATTTTTCATTCTTCACCTCTATTAAACTATTTTCCTCTCTGCCCAACTCTGCCTAGAAAATTAATAAACATTTAAAATTTCAGACTTACATATATTAAAAATAAAAAATATGTTTATCTTGGTCCATATATTACCATGGCCCAGGTAAAAATTTTTTCCAGCCTCTGCCAGTGCTAGGATTCACACAAATCAAGGAGTATATGTATTCTCAAAATGCATGAAAAAATAAATAGACTCCCATATTTTTCTTTCATATAATAGTATGTGGCAAGCAATCAGTAGGATTTTAATGTTGCTGTTTTAAATAATGTTTGAATATATTTATATGTTTAATACTACAGCATTATGTGTTTTCCCTTCAGAATTGTTTTCATGCTCTCTCTATATTTTTTTTGAGACAGAGTTTCGCTCTTGTTGCCCAGGCTGGAGTGCAGTGCTGCAATGATCTTGGCTTACTGCAACCTCCACCTTACTGGTTCAAGTGATCCTCCTGCCTCAGCCTCCCAAGTAGCTGGGATACAGGCATGTGCCACCACGCTCAGCTAATTTTGTATTTTTAGTAGAGATAGAGGCTTCACCATGTTGGTTAGTCTGGTCTAGAACTCTTGACCTCAGGTGATCTGCCTGCCTCAGCGTCCCAAAGTGCTGGGATTATAGGCGTGAGCCACCACACCCAGCCCATGCTCTATCTTAATTTATGTTTTTGCTCAACTCCATGTCATGAGACTTCAATTTTGCTATTATATGTTCTTTTAAAGCATGATCGAATGTCTTTTCAAGATGAAACTCCTATTGTGTCATTATGAAGAGTGTTCTTTCTAATGCCCTGGTCCATATCATTCTTAAGGTGCTCCAATAAGAGGTGGTTGAGGCAGGAAGTCACCAAATGACTCAAATCTAAGAATGCTACACTCCTGTATAAGGCCCTGCCTACCGCAGGTAGGCCTGTTCCCACCACAGTGCATTTCCCATGGGTTTCAATGAAAATGATTAACACTTTTTTCACGTTTAATAGCATACAGGTCCATGCAACTGTGTCATTGCACTGGCTTGTTCACATATCTGTGCATTTTTTTTTTCTATGAACTTCTTAAGAGCAAACAATCTATGTCTTTCTTGTTTGAGTCTTAGTAGGTACATGCTTAGTCACAGTGGTGGATTTTACCATGGAGATGATGAAACATAAGTTGCAGGGCCCTTGACCTGCATGAGGCTATTCCAGGGTCCTGGGTGAAACCTTAGCAATGTAATCACATGGTCATACATTATTGCAAAATTTGTAAATGTAAGAGGGTTTAATTAGACTGCTACAAGGCTTTGTAGTTTCATTTATATTAGTAATTTTATTTTCTTCTTGTCCTGAAAGAAGCCTCCCCAAATGGACAATTTTGGCCCCATAAAACCTTGATTGTCCCTTGTTGACATGCAAGGAACGACTATTTGCTTTTTGTTGGATGAATAAATGAAAGAGGTAAAAGGAATGAGAAGGAATGAATATTTTATTAGTTAATACATTTTAACATTTAAAATTTGCATGTCTGGCAAAAATTTTTCACAAGCTACCAACAGAAAATGCTAACATTATCACCCTTGGGTAGTGTCTATGAGTTTACATGCTCTTATACCAATGTAACTTCAATAGAATTTTCCACCAGGCCTTCGATTAAATTTAACCTTCGATTAAAGTGACTGATATCAAAATGTTTACAACTATGCTATTTTTAGAAAAGGATTATTATACTCAATGGTTAAAGAGGAAAAGAAACCCAAACACATGATTGAGTGATGCTCGTGATTGTATTGTGTCAATACTAGGATGTCAGCTGAAGTCTTCTGATACTGACTCTACTCTTTTCAAAACATGGTGTTTACAAATATATTTAAATAAATGAAAACTTATTCTACAAACAAAAGCATAAAATCAAATAGGTTAATAATGTTTTCCTCAAATGATGAACATTTTCCCTTTCCTTCCCTTTCTTTCTTTTCCTCTCTTCTCCTCCTCCTCTCTCCTTCTTTCCCCTCTCCCTCCATTTCTTTGCTTCTTCTTGTTTTCTTTCTTGATGCAGGTGTTTAATATTATCCAACTGCCATAAAGCTAAATTATTTTTTGGAAAATAGAACTGAACTACTGAATACAAGATGAAAATGTGGTTGCTGGTCAATCATCTTGTAATAATATCTATTACTACCTGTCTAGCAGGTAAGAAATATCCTTTGTATATTCTACATATATTATGTCAACATAATTGATATGTGTGTTTATTTTATTAAATGTGTTGTATGAAGTAAACATTTTCTTTTGATAGCTGGGTCAGACAAGTAGGTAAATATGTATTTAGGCTGACCCTATTTTCTTTTTAATTTCAATTAAGATTTCACAGAACTTCATCAATCTTGGATCATAGTGTGCTTGTGAATGTTTAAGATATAGATCTCTGGGGAGGTCCCTGGAGTGTAGCATTTGTCTATTCCTGAGGAGTAAATTCTCCTACTGTGGCTAATTTCAACTTGACATCATTAATGTGGAACTGAGAAAGATGTGCAACAGCTCATCAGTCTATAATATTTTCACCATCCAGCTATAAATAACCACAATGGCATAGAGTAAAAACAAAACAAAACAAAACAAAACAAAAACAAAAAAGAGGGAAGGTAATGGGTTTTAAGTATTTGTTCCCTTTACGCTTAACATGATTGATGTATTTGTAAATTAATTTTTAATACTGGCTATGTTTAACAAGTGATTCACAAAATTTCTGAAAATTAATAATCACTTCTCGAGAGCTCTAGGTAGATGTAACACACTATTGAATCTTATAACTCTTTTACCAATTGGATCAATATAATTTAAAAATGATTAAAGTAATCTGCAATGTGTGTAGGGACATAAGACCACTAAAACAATTTTGAGAGTACCTTAGTTTTAAGACAAAGAAATTTTATATTTGTCTTTCAAAGGCAAGTGTGAAGCATTCAGACCTATTTTGTACAATGAGAGGCATATCATATCTTTATCTGAAAAATTGATATAGTCACCCAACAAGTACTTATTGAGCTAGGTTATTATCATGAAAGCATTAGAAAAATTGAATTCTAATAATCAATTTTTCTAATACTTTTATATTAATGACCTAACTCAATAGGTAATTGTTGAGTGACTGTTTTGTTCAGACATAAATGGTCTTCATCCTTTTATGATTAATCACTTAAATGATTAATCTGAAGGACATCATTATTAAGAACATAAAAAGCATTGTTTTATTTTGGGGAATAGTTTTTATTATGCTCACTACAAAACTCAGAAAAGACCATTTCATTAGTACTTAAGGATTTTAATGACGTTGATAAATATATATTTTATGACCATAGTAATTATGCACACATACCCACATACATATATATAATCATATGCATAATATATTTACACATATATAATGTAAACATAAGAAATAAAAAATTTGGTAAAGTCATTGGGTGAAGTCTTATTTTTATGAATAAAATAAAAACTATCTTATTAGTACTGAAAATTCATACTAATTAACTGCAAATTTTGGTGCTACAACTATAAATGTAAATTTAAGAAATAAATATATGCACAGGTATGAAGATACTTCAACCTTTATAGTAAAGGACCACTACTCTCATTCCATTGTCTAGCATCTCAGCTATTCAAGTAATGTTTGAAACCACAATTTAAATAATTGCTTCAGGATCAAAATTGTTTTTTTCTTTCATTTTTAGAGTTTACATGGTACAGAAGATATGGTCATGGAGGTAAGTTGACCAAAGAGTAAACCTTGTAAACATCTTTTCTCTATTGAATCATATTTTATCTCTCCTTTAAGCCATTAACTCTCTATATTTAAGGCAAACGGTTAATGTTAGATTACTGTGAAATTTTGTAAGGTGATCTTTCTGAGATTATAAGCAAATTGTTTGTTGAATAAGTGGATACATCATAAACAAATATCCTATTAGAGGATTGTAGCAAATGGAAAATATTAAATGTGGCTGGCATTTTTCCTGCATGCTTTGTAAGAGTGCTATGCCACTAAACTTGGAAGCAGTATTTTAAAATTTGTAAGCATTGAACTCATTTTTGAAAGCCTCTTGCTTTGCTGCAAGGGAGATAACTGAAGTTAGTGAACTCGGAATCTTAAGATTCAGTTCAATTAAAAGTCCACAGATACTGTAAAATTTATTGTTTAATAATCCTTCTAATTTAGATCCTACTTCAACTACCAAACAGATCTTGCAGAAATAAAGTCAGCATGGTATACTGGAAAAAAAAATAGAAAATTTGGAGTAAGATCACCTGAATTTGCGTTTTCAGCTCCATACTCACTAGCTGATCTTATTATCTTGTGTAAATTATATAACTTCTATGAGCCTTAACTTTCCAATATGTAAAAATCACAACATTGTTGTGAGGACTAAAAAATGAATTGCAGTGATGACTTCTAGCGTAATGACTGGCAAGTAGGTGCTCCATAAGTACAGTAACACTAGTAACTTATAAAAGCCACTGTATAATGGTAGGAAAATGAAAAACCATGAAGAATCACTGAACAACCCATGCTAGAACTTGCATGCCAAATCAAGGATACCTATTGTATTAGTCCATTTTCATGATGCTGATAAAGACTTACCCGAGACTGGGAAGAAAAAGAGGTCTAATTGGACATATAGTTCTACATGGCTGGGTAGGCCTCCGAATCATGGCAGGAGGCGAAAGTTACTTCTTACCATGGCAGCAGCAAGAGAAAAATGAGGAAGAAGCAAAAGTGAAAACCCCTGATGAACCCATCAGATCTTGTGAGACTTATTAGGATGTAGTCAGATAAGAGATAGGTGTCAGAAGATGCCCAGCCAGGTATGTAAAACAGAGTCTAGATGCTTCAGAGGTGGATCACAGGACAAGGAAGTAGTTGCTCTAGAGATATGTGACAGGCTCCCTTTGGGCAGGTAGAGCCAAGCAAGGAGAATTTAGTTCACTTAACTTTTCTGCTAACCTGACCCTACTCTTTATTCTAATAACTGTATTTCTACAAGTTTTTGAGACCAACTCCTTACTCTCTCTGTTTAGTTATGGAAAAATACTGCAATGTTACCTATTACCCATGACCCTAAAAAATTGGGGCACCAGCATATTTAAAGGCTAAGCCCATCTTCTCTTATCAGCCGGAAATGGGTGGCAGTGAAGACAGGAAGCTGTACTATGTGGGAGAAGGATGCTTTGTGGCAGTTTAAATATTAACTCTTTTAGAGAGTTTCAAGAGAGCTTAAACCACTCCCAAACCAATAATCATGGTAATATTGTAAATGTGGTAAAAATTTCCATCTTAGTCTCTTTAAATTTTGATGTCATCCCTTTTTTCTAACAGACTTTTCCAAGGACTCTTCTTATAACATATTTACTATAACATATATAAAATTGTGTTTACTAACTAACAGATTGAGGTGAAATAGAATGGGAAGTGGAGTTTGTCTCAAAAAGTATATAAAATAAATAAAAATACCTCTGAAGCACAAATTATAATTTTACTTTCAATTTCCAGAAATAAAATAACAACATTACAGTGGAGACTCTCCACATAGTGATAGGTGAAGTAATCCTGTTTGAGATCATATAATTGACTGGTTATATTAATGGTGAAAGTGAGAATGAAAGAGCAACAGCTTCTGCCTGTCATTTACATTAGTAAATATGACTGCAGATATTCATACATTATTTATTTTTATCTTCATCTTTTTGATCACACTTAAACATACTTACATCTGTAATAGATTTATGATACTCACACTATCAGGTAGGAAATAAATGAATTTACATTAAGAGCAGATCAAAACAGAGATGTGAAGTGTTAAAGCCTCAATTAGCTTGAGAGGTCATCTATAGCTTTGTGCTCCTTTTAAGAAGAATCTCTCTATTAAAAGAAGAAATGTACTTAAAAAATAATTCTAGTTTTTGAAAACACAATCTTTATCTGTGGTTTGTTTCTTAGGACTTTTACCCCCATAATACTTCCAAAGCATCAAAATTTGTCATCTAAGTGTTTCCATGGCTATAGAAAAAAAATCAATAGATGACAGTATTTTCTGGAGGCTGAGAACATAATGCTTACGTTACTGGATCCTTTGCTGAGCCTTGAATTTATTATCCCTGAAAGTTCTTTTCCCTGGATCTGAGCACTCTAGATGAGCTAGCATGGCAATAAACTCAGGTACGGTCTGCAGAGGAAACATGAGGATCCTAGTCAAGAGGTTCATGCTGAACCTGGCAATGCAATACAGATGCTTGCTTTGAATAGTTTTTCTTTCAAGGGCCCAAATATGTTCCTAAAATAAAATATATACAGTAATTGCTAAGCCATCAAATGGAATACATTATGTGATTCAGGTTAAAAAGTTTAGAAAAGTAAGAAGCATATAGTTATAAAACAAAATACTTAATAGAAAAATTAACGTGATATGAAGTATGTCCTATTTTGCTTTCTGTTCTTGGAAAGGGCAAAGGGAAATATCTTAACTGTAATGTTTTGTCAATGTGAAAAATAATTTCAGTATTTTCTTGGAGATTAGCTTCTTATTTTAATCCCTGGAAGCTTGCGTTGTCTGTTACTATAAAGGTCAAATATAAGTGGAGTATTGGGAAATATACACATATAATGTGTGGAAAATATGTTAATTGAGAAGAAAAAGTAGCATAAGGTACCAATATTAACCAGTTAGGCCTATAAAAATTCACTCCAAAATTGTTAAATATTTGCATATCCCCTTTGAGGGTTTTGTTCATTCCTTATGTATAGGAATAATCCTATATACACACTCAGTATAACCCAATAGGTGTAGCCTCATCATTATTTGTATGTGCCATTCTATAATTTTCAATGAAAATTTTCATTGCTAGGACCTTTTACTTTTTAAAAAATACATATTATTAAGATGCAAAAGCTACTTAAAACATATTCTCAGTTCTCTAAAAGCTGACCAACTTTTATCTCAAAAGCATATAGAGTAAATGAAAGGATACATTATTAAAAGAAATATTTAAGACTATTCATTTTATTAAAATATGAAAATATGCTAATCTTTACATAGCAATATGCTCATGTGAATCTGTCTTTATTGTATTTGAAGGTGCCAAGCAGTACTTTGAATAATCAAAGCAATTCTGAATGACCATAACTCACCTTACTTCAAAAGAAAAAAAGCTTATTTAAAGGAAGCAAATGAAATTATAAATTAAGTTTAGAATTCTGGATGATGACCCTCCATATAATGGCACTTCTAGAAGCCACATTAGAAGCAGACACTAGACAGGCCAGGGCTGTCTGTTTCTACATTAGAAATACGATTGTGTAATCTATCTTTATTAATGTAAGCCTGTACCTCTTGCGATGAGTTCATATTTTAGGAAGTCATATTTAATCACTACCGTATTCCTCATTATTAAATGAGACAGATATTTAGTTTCTAAACAATCTTTCAAGTGTGCTGCATATAGGATGCAAGTTGGAGAAGGTTCAAAGAAAAATCCTTAACCCTGAAGACCTGAGATCCTCTCAACAATGTCTTTCACAGGGCAGATCTTTTGATTTTAAAAATCCAACTTAATCTTTTTTTTTTCTTATAATGCTTTTGGTGTCGTGTCTGAAAGCTTATTGAGTACCCAAAGTCAGAATCAAGGACAACTAACATCTATAGTGCATCAAATTGTAGCCCCCAATTGACCATCTGAAATTTCTATGCTAACACTGTTGTAAGAAGTAGAAACTCAAGATCTGATCCAGTGTATAACTGTGGTCTTATGTTTAAAGTATCTGCATACTTGCATCTGCATTCATCTCTCCTTAAATCTCCTTAAATGGATAGCCTTCTCCATTGGTAATAATAACATCTACATCATCATCAGGCTTGTTGCATAAGTACCAAAGTACTTAGAAGATCTTTATAAATTTTACAATCCCCTAAGCAATATTTATTTTTAGTTTTCTAAATATTTATGAACTTAGATTTTTAAAAGTTTTGAAATAATTCACACTAAAGTCATTATTTATCAAGGATTCTAGTGGGAATAGAAACTATCTTACCTTCAAGAAGATAATCTATACATATTGAAAAGTACCCTTCTCTACTTTTTAAGCATTTTTATAGACATTGAGAAGAAACAACTAGATCTTCAAATTGGCAGGTGTTACTAAATTGCTCAGTCAAAAAACCTATGCAATTGGGAGAGACTCAAGGAAATTGTCAAACTGAGAGGAAGAATAGCATGATTTTTATCATAGATAAGCACAAGGTCATTTCTTTCAGAAGTCAGAAAATCCAGACCTTCCATAAAAAACAAGTCTTTAGTCATCAGGGATTCAGGATTCATTTCTCATTTTTTCCGTTTGCTATCACAGCCTGAATAGGCAGAAAATATCAGGCATCATCAGGAAAAGTATTAGAAGTGAAGCAGAAAATATTATATGCATTTATGGCTTTTACAACCTCAAGAAGGATATGGAACTAGAGACAACCTAGAATACAACTTTCAAAATTATTAGCAGAGAGCATCTCTGTGAATACCTCATATCTGTAATCTTAATAATAAATGTGGTAGGCACATGGAGTCCTTAGGACATATGCCTGAATGTCCTAACCCTTTAAAACAAATTGCTTGCATAAGACAATAACTAGAAAAGTTCATTGCAGAAGCTAAGTCTTAGTTTTTCTCATTCTTCTGATTCTGATCCAGCTATTTATCTCCTATCTGAAATGGGATTATGGTAATGGAATGTGTCTGATGTCTATAAACTGTTGAATAAAAATTTCAGCAAATTTCAACCAAGAACGAGGCAGCTCCCTTGGAAACATTTTGGGTTAACTTACTAATTAGAGAAATTAATTCTTCATACCTGGAGGGAGTGGGGAGAAACTAACTTGAGGATTTAGTAACCATCTATATGTACAACAAAAATGTACTGAGTGTCCCAAACAATACAGTGCTAATAGCACCAGAGCTACAAGAGTGAAAATTTAGCTTCTTGTTTTTAGAAGCTTCATGATTAGTCGCATAGTTTATATACACAAGAAGCATAAACTAAATTTCAAAGAGATTGACAAATTATGAGAATGTTTTCAAAATTAGCATTTATTCATTGCTGACTATAAGCCAGGTACACTGTGATCGTCCATGAATTATTTCAAAATAATTCTGACAATAACCTTATCGGGTAGATTTTATTATCCCCTTTTTATAGTGATATTGAGCCTTGGAGAGATAGAATAATTTGTCCAAAGGCACACTAATAATGGTACTGAGGCAAGATTTAAATGACATAATGAAACTATTTGTTCAAAAGGAAGCTGGAACAGAGCTCTCATCTTCAAGTTTAGTGTTAGAGAAGATAAAAATGTCTGTGCGCCATTGCCTTTACCTCTCTCTCAAAAAACAAACTGGAGGAGCGAATCATGGCTTCGATCAGGCAGAGACATTCCAGTGACCTGTAAGAATATTCATTCTTTCTAGCTACACAGATTATTAATTCATTTGAGGCATATGGTTTTGTGCTATGTTCTGTAAATGTTGCCACAGTAGTGGCATGTGAGTGATTCTCTTCTCCTCATCCTGCTGTGAAGTGTCACTCTTCCCTTCCAGAGAGAATAAACCACCAGGATCAACTGTTTCTCAACACAGCTGTTTGCGATAAATTTTAAACCAGTTGTTCAGATCCACTATCCATGTAATTTGTTGATTGATTGTACCACATGTTGCTGAGTGCCAATGCTAGTCACATGTTTAGAAAAAAAAAAAAAAAAGAGAAACCTCGCTTAGAAAAGAGACTCATTTCCCCCAAATCAAGAAGCTCTCCTTTTCATTCAGACTCTTGTTCAAAAATCATTAGGTTCCTATTGTTTTCCAGACAACCAGACAACTACCCAGGAGAATGATGTACACAGATGAAAGACATAACCACGTGTTCTCAAGCATTTGCAATCTAGCAGAACAGAAAGTTGCACCAAGAATCATAGCATGTGTGTTAAGTATCATAACCTATATGGGGAGCTACAGGAACTCAAAAGAGGACCAATAAAAGCCAGGAGAGATGAGAGGTTTTGGCTTCCTGATGGAACTAACTATGGCTAGGTCACAAAGGATCACGTAAATTTTAATAGGACGAGAAAAGTAGAATGATGATTCTAGGAAGACAAAAAGCATATGCAGAGGCTCAGGGGCATGGAAATACAACGTGTTTGGGGAGGTGTAAGTAGTTAAGTTTGGTAACACATGGAAATGACCGGAGATGTGCAGAAAATGATTTTAAATGAAGAACCTAATGTTTGGCTCAGTATTACGGGGGCAGATATCTTTGTTTTGAATTAAAATGGTAAGTCTCTTTCTGATTTTTTTTCAAATGTTTTTCCAATGTTCTCAAACTTTCTTTAACTTATAAAGTAGCACAATGTAAAACAATTTTATTTTTCTTGTAGTTTCTGAGGAAGACAAAGGATTTGGACCAATTTTTGAAGAGCAGCCAATCAATACCATTTATCCAGAGGAATCACTGGAAGGAAAAGTCTCACTCAACTGTCGGGCACGAGCCAGCCCATTCCCGGTTTACAAGTAATGTACCTCACTGCTCTTTTCAGAATGGAGTGTCAGAGTAATGATCACAGATCAGCATGTATTAACTTTTAAAGATATAAGATAGTGCTTTCTACAAATTCCATGGACATTAACAATAATATTGGCATACAAGCTATTTAAGAAGTTGTCTAATGCTCAAATAGCAGGTTTTCTTAAATATATGCAAATAATTCACTTACTGTTCTCTGCACAGATAATGCTACTGGCATTTGACATTACCCACTTACAAATTGTATAATGGAAATAATATTTTTAAGCCTACAAATGGTTACATCAAATTATGCATAATTTAAATATACATATTTGAGGATAAAATGTTTTTGTATGCACTGGCCTGGATAACTCATACCTACAGATATGGATAAATTTTTATATTAAGTACAGGTAAAGATCTTGAACAAATAACTGTAGAAAGCACCATCTTTTTCAACAGTCTCATATCTATATTACATCCAACACAGCAAATTTCTTAAATGTCTCTATAGGAAACTCTGTATAAACATACCTCTTTCTATTTTTCTGGGTTACATATGTATGTTATCGAAAACAACGTTATAAAAAGCAACAATGAATTTGTTTCCTGCTTCAGGTGGGTCAGAAAATTATACTAACAGTTTCCCATTTGATGCAAAGAATGAGATGGAAAAATCAACTAAATGCCAATGGCTTTGAATTTCACCTGTGCGATGGTTCCATGAAGACAAAACAAGAGACTGATAGAGAAATTGGGGGCTCTAGTGTGTTAATGTCACTTGACTTAATTGAAGATTGTCACTCAACAAAGTTAGCTTTAATATGTTTTTCTGGGTAGAAAAGTAACTTTCTATTATTACAAAAAGTTCTTATCAAAGAGAATATCCCCTTCCACCCATTTGATTCTAACTGTACTCAGTTTTTCTTGCCTTTGGCTATAATTACAAAATTATTCTTAAGATAAAATACGAGCTTAGATACAAAATCACCATCCCATTGAAGTTATTTTTATTGTTTCAATTTCATGCATGGGAGTAAAATATAAGTAGGTATTTAATAAATTATAAATAATACATTTGTACTGAAAATATTTGATGGGCTAGACTTATCTCCACACTTAAGCCATATATAATGATAACCTATTTGTCATTGACATGGGATAGTAGAACTAATAGGATCTGTAGAGGAGATCCAATCCAAAAAAATCATACCGGAGAGGAAGTTGAATCCTTAGTAAGTAAATTTGCTTGCTCAGGAACTAGTAAAACACAGATCAGGGACTGAAACACAGGTTTTATGATTTCTGAAGAAGCATGCAATTTTTTCAGTATTTATCTACCTAGATAGATTGATAAAATCTCAAAAGCTCTTTCAGCGACACTTATTCTGTAATACTCTGTTGTTAACATTCATACAAGGGACCTTAGAAAATCAATCTCTAGGCTGGAATGGAGGCAACCAGAAGAAAGGGTTGCTCTCAGATAATGTTCTAGAAACATGGAAAAGGCTATGCTTCTCCTTGCTGCCCCCATCATCCCACCCCACAGGCACAATAAGAAGCAAAGCTTTGCTTGCCCAGTAAGTCAACAACTGCCTCTCACAGGTTGCACCCAGCACTGAAATTTCCTCTTTGAGTTTGACCTGGTTATCCATACATTAATAGAGATAACTGGAGAAGACAGATAGATGTTTAATCTTGTTATGAAGGCAGTCTCTTTTTGTTGGGGAAAAATGAAAGAACAGAAAAAAAAATCAGCTCATGATGCAACTACTTGGAAAAGAATGTTTAAAGTTTTTAAAATGTACTTAATTTCAGGCCAAATTATACTAACCTTGGTAATCATCCAATTTTTCATTCATATAGTAGTTTTATATTTGTACCGTGTTCTGTGACAACTTGTTATTCATAGCAACATCCTGAGAGGTACAACGGGGTACTTTATTTCCGACTTACAAGCCTTGCGGATTTCATTATCTTGTGCCCATCCCCAAAGAAATAAGCACTACAATAAAAAAAAATTACTAAAAGAAATTGTAACAATAGTGTATGTTTCTGAAACTAGAGCAGTGAACTTCCTCAAACACAAAAAAAGGTCATCCTTCTATGATGTCACAAGCATAGTCAGATCCAGGAAGTTAAGACAATAAACAAAAATTTGGAACCAACATAATGAGGGGAAATTTTATAAAAATTGGAACTGCTCAACAAAGAAACACACTGTCTTGACAAGAGCTGAGCAACTTAACACTGGATGGTTCAGGCAGGGACAATATTGCCATCACCTGGGGATAGAGGAAGGCTTTATTCACTGGGTTGGAATTTAGTAAGTTTTAAAAATGCAAAATCACAGTTTCCTATGCTTGCTTTTGAATTATTTCCTATACTGCAAAAATTGTAACTAATAATGTTCCAGTAACTTTGATTTGGTAACAGATATTCTAAAGCAATTAGGCCCTTTGGGTATGATTATTACTCTAATTAGAAGTGGCCAGGAAATGAGTGATGTGGTCACCAGCCACTACTATTTCAGCGATTTGACCACAGCTCTAGGCTTATGACTTTCCTGAGGACATGGAACTTTAAAGGATAAACCCTGATAAAGAATGATTATAAAATTATACAGTTGGTTCTTTTAGTTGAGAACTATTTTCTACATGCATTCTTTTCATCATCACATCAGAAATTTAGATTCCTGTTTCCAGTCAATTTATTTATAACACTATTCCTATTAACTAATGCTCTGATTACCTGCAACATGTCTTATATTGTTATGAAATTCTGTGGTAGGATGGAAAAATAATTGTTTTTCTTTTCCACTTTATTAAAAGTAATCTTTGAGTCTTGAGAAAAGACGTAAGTGACCACTAGCTCTAGGCTGAGGAAGTTTTACTGGTATATTTGTGGCTTGGAATAAATTTTTTAAAACCCAACTAATTTTTATTATTTTCAAATTGTGTGACTGACCTCTAGTGGTCAGAATTGCCACTTACTGAGCAAACCCCAATGTCAGTTTGTTTTACTGAAAAATTACTTTGAAATTTAGAGTCAGATATTGATATTTTATATTTTATTTCTGGTAGAACAATACTTTTAATATTTTATACAGCATATCTGCATATATATGAATCTAACTGGTGCATAGATGACTGTCAATTATGTCCAATGTATAGCTGCCAAGAAATCAATTTATGGAGAAAAACTTAACAAAATATTTGTCACTCGGATACCTCATGAAAAAAAAGACAAAATATGTATGTACTTTGATGTTTACCTGTCTGTACCTGAGCTAAATTACAAATTATGATCCTAGAGACTCTGAATTATAGAGTACAAAGAAATACCATCTGAATCATATTTCTTATTGTCTGAATTTGCCCTGAGCTGTATCCAGACTATTTTAGAACTTTGTTAGCTCCATACAGTTTCCAGGTCTCATGACCTGAGATTGACCTTTGTATCTTTTTCTCTTAGGTGGAGAATGAATAATGGGGACGTTGATCTGACCAGTGATCGATACAGTATGGTAGGAGGAAACCTTGTTATCAACAACCCTGACAAACAGAAAGATGCTGGAATCTACTACTGTTTAGCATCCAATAGCTACGGGATGGTCAGAAGCACTGAAGCAACCCTGAGTTTTGGATGTAAGTAAATAGTAACTTTTTAAAAATGGTGTGTTTAGGTGAGTTCAGCAAGAAGAAAAATCAAGAAAGGATAGTGAGAGGAAGGCATCACAGATGAGGTGCATTGTACAAGATGAGTGGACCTAATTGTATGATGGAGACAACAAAATACTCCAAGGCATACAATGAAGGCACTTGAAACAGTGAAAGATGATGTTGTCAACTAAAGGAAAACCAGGGTCTGAGGATCTTGAATGACTCTTTAAAATTAGTATCAATGCAAGCGTCAAGCCATATATTATTGAAGGGGCCCTATCACCTATAAGGGGGTGAAAATTGGCTTTTGGGGGAAGAAAATGTCACATATTGCAACATAATGTCTATGATTCTTCAAAGATCAACCCAATATGATAATACCTTATTCACTAATATTGTATTTCTCATAGTAGGAATAAATTTAATTATATTTTTGTTAATTTATTTTAAATTTAAATACATGAAAAATTTCTTCTAATTAGGGCCAATAATGACAAATTGTGCTAAGCTAAAATTTAGAGGTTGTTCTGAAATAAAATTTTACACTGGGAGACGAGTTGGATCAGGTGATCTCCAGTATGTGATTTACGTGAGCACTTAAATCTTTTGCAAAATGAACTATAGGATGAAAACCATGTTTTAAGAAGTCCTACATGGTAGGGTTTATCAAGAGGGAATGAGAGGGCCAGGAATAGAAGTAAGATTAAATTAGTGTGGTGAGAGTGGAAATGTAAATTACATACATTAACTATAAGGAAAGAATTAACAGGTTGCATTGCACAAAAGGAAAGAAGACTATAATTTTTTTTTCCCAAGGAATGTCTAGTCAAAGGGCAGAAACATTCTGTTCTCATTAAAAATGTGATGAGAGCAAGAAAAACCAATTTCAAGGATGGCAGGAAGCATTTAAATGGTCGCCTCACATGCAGAGGTTATTGGGATATTGAGTTAATCCAAGTTGAAATGTCAAGTAAGCTATTGAGGATAGGGATGGCATTCAAGTAAGACACCAGAGCTAGAGAAGTAGATTTGAAGAGTCCTCTGCAAAAAGTAACACTTAGAATAAATGGTTTTTCGGAGGTATACAATTTATATGGAGAAAAGTAACAATTAAATGTTATAATTTGGGTGCTGATCACAGGTAAGGAACAGGAAGAAAGGCAGAAAAAAAATAGAGTCAGTAAGACAAATGAAGGATTGCAAGAATATAAAGGAATCAAGCGGAACATAAGTTCCAAATACATAGAAAAGAGTAAAGAAAATTAGAACTGAAGCAAAGCCAAAATTTGAAGAGGAGCAAGAGATTGGTCACTTTCATGTTCCCTAATTAGGGTCCTGTCTTTTACCCTTATCCCTTCCTGATATCCAAGCCCTCCCTCAGGAAGGGAAATACCCATCAAATGAGTCCATTCCTTTAAGTCATTTCTTACTTACTTTCTTTGGTAGGTCCCTGGGTTTGTCTGATTTCATTGTATTTCCAAATGCCCTGCCTGAGATTCTCCCTAAGTCTGAAACAAAAGTCTTTAGGACATTTGTAATTTTCAGGGTTGTCAGAATTCTTATGCAGGCTGCTCTCAATATCTGTAGACTTTGAGCTCATCACAGAACTTTATAGTGTATACAAATCCCGGCAATGTAAGAACGAGGAGCTGACTTTACTAGGCTTCACCAAACCACTGAGAAGGGCTATATCTCAAAAGTGAGTTAATTGCTGAAAGGCAAAAGTGATGGATGTCTCTCTCTCTCTTGACTAGAGAGTGAACCTTTCTCTTTTTCCTTTTGTAATTAGATCTTGATCCTTTCCCACCTGAGGAACGTCCCGAGGTCAGAGTAAAAGAAGGGAAAGGAATGGTGCTGCTCTGTGACCCTCCATACCATTTTCCAGGTAAACTTAATTCCTCTCTATTAGCATCTATCAAACAAAATGGGCAAGCTCCATTTTCATAGTAATAATGCTACATTATTAATAATCATGGCTCATTTTTAATTAGACCAGATGTTTGCATAAGCTTGTAATGTGTCACTAATCATTATGGACACTTCCTTTCTTGGCTCATTAGTCACTTGGTTCTAGTCCCAATGATCTCTAATCATTTCAGTTTATAAACATATATATGTTGTATTATGTCATCATTAAAGTTCCTATTCCACAGGGAAATTCCGATAGTTTGCTAGAAAATATTCCTGAAATGGAACAGTACTGAGGAAGAATGTATAATCAATCATTTTCTTAACAAGTTAGTATCTATAAAATACTGTGAGCTGTACGTAACTAAACACTAGAAAGGGATAAAGACATAATAAATTATTAATCTCCTTAGGAATACCAATCTGCAATAATTATCTACTTCAAAACTGGGGCTAAATTAAGTGTCATCTGTTATGAGATTCAACTTTGAATATATATTTTATGTAATTTAATATGGCGAAGACAAAAACCACTAAAGTGCTAACTAAAAGATGAATTCTTTATATGCTTTCACCAATTTTCATTTGTTTTATTTATCAAATATCCCTTTGAAACGATATATAAATACCTCTCTTCACAATTCAAAAATCGTTTTTTCTATTCTTTTTTTTTTTTTTTTTTTTTTTTTTTGAGACATAGTTTTGCTCTTGTTACCCAGGCTGGAGTGCAATGGCGCGATCTCGGCTCACTGCAACCTCCGCCTCCTGGGTTCAGGCAATTCTCCTGCCTCAGCCTCCTGAGTAGCTGGGATTATAGGCACGCGCCACCATGCCCAGCTAATTTTTTGTATTTTTAGTAGAGACGGGGTTTCACCATGTTGACCAGGTTGGTCTCGATCTCTCGACCTCGTGATCCACCCGCCTCGGCCTCCCAAAGTGCTGGGATTACAGGCTTGAGCCACCGCGCCCGGCCTTTCTATTCTTATAGTTCTGATATTATGTCATAAATTTGACTTTAAACATCTCCGTAGAGAATGAAACATAACAAGCTTTTAAAACCCATGCAGGAATTTGTGTGAAATACATCAATCTGATGTGTGTGTACGTACCTAGCCAGATACATATATTCACACAAAATTATGCAGTATACATTTCATGTGAAATTTGTGTGTGTGTGTGTGTGTGTGTATGTATGTAGTTGTGGTTTACACATCAAACATTGGTAATTTTCTCCACAATAGGAGAAAAATAATTGCTTGATAAATATAGGAGTGACATATAAAATCCAAAATGTTGTAACACCCTTTCAATGAGAAAAGACTTTCTGAAGGAACTATTGAAGTTATATATATATATATATATATATATATATATATATATATATTTAAAAACTCTACCATTTTCATAGCATTTCCCACAAAGTAATGACCAAAAGTATCCAGTGACTACATATGACCACATTCAGTATGGGAGGGACTTCACTCCATCACTCATTGACTCAAAAAATTTCTCCTGAGCATTTTTTATACAGCAGGCACAACGTATGCCACAGAAATGCCTCAGTGAAGCAAAACAGGAAAAGCTACCAGCCTTCAGAGATTGTCCACTGGGGAGGGGCAGACATTAATAAGATAAACAGCTGAAAGATATGGCATGCTAGATATTGATAAATAAGGAGAAACAAATAATGCAGGGAAGTGGGGAGAGTAAGTATTGGGGGGACAACTGACCTCAGGAGGAGCATCACTAGAAGGAAAGTTTGAATAAACACGGGAAGGAAATAAAAGAGCTAACAATGCAAGTTTCTGAGAGAAGAGCATGCCAGGCAGATGCTGAGGTGGGACTATGGAAGACCAAGGAAGGCAGGGTGGTGCCATAGACTGAATAAGGCAGAGGGTAACAAGAAATGAAATAAGAGAGGTACAAGAGCTGCATTATGGAGGACCTTATAATCCACAGCAATTATTAATAGTTTGGCTTTTACTTTGAATGTGATTTACATTGGAGGGCTTTGAGCAGAGGAGCCACATGACATGACTTAAGATATAGAAAGGTGACTCTGGCTACTGTTTTAAGAAAGGACTTGGGGAGGGCAAAGGTGGAAACAGGAGATTGGGTACAGGTATTATAATAATCTAGGTAGCATATGATGGGCCAGAGTGGTGTCAGTGGAGGTGGGAATTCAGGCATATTCTATGTAAATAGAATATGTTAAATTTTTATATAGAAATCTAGGTATATTTTAGTTAAATTCTAGATATATTTTGAAGGAGAAGCCAAGAGGATTTGCTTGTTGACTTTTTGTGGTATATAAGAGAAATACAAGAGTTGAGGGTGGCATAAAAGTTTTTGCCATGAGCTTCTGAAAGAATGAAGTTGCCATTACTTCCGCTGAAGGAATAGGTGTGGATATGTTAAATGTGAAGCATCTGTTAAGCTTCCAAATGGAAATCAAGTTGGCAGTTCTATATGTGTGTAGATCTCAAGGGTGATGTCTAAGCTTGGAATATCAGTTTGTGATTCATCATTATATAAGTTGTTTTCAAAACCATGGGACTGCAATATGATTACCTAGGGAATTAGAATAGATAGAAAGCAAGAAGCAGGGGTCCAAAAAACAGGCTTTGAGATTTTTCTAAGATAAGTCTTGATTTTCAGTCTCTGCTGTGTCTAAGCCATGGTGCTGAATGTAAAATATATGGGCCACAGCAAGGTTGGCAGAAGCTTAAAGCCATTAAACCAAAAGAGTCCACTACTTCTTTATCTCAATAAAGATAAATATGTTTACATGGAAAAAGCAAAAACAAAAATCAAGTTGGTTCAAGAGACATTATAATTCACCGAATAAATCTGAGTAGCTCATCAGATACGCCATCTTCAACCGATATAGAAAGACATTTGCTTCAAATCCATGTGTGTATGTATGTGCTTACGTGTACTATTTTACTGTCTCTCTGCCATAAATCCTCATACCGTTTTAATGAAGGTAAATTAAGGTTTTATGTTTTGTGGCTTAGAATTTGGGTTGAAGGTGCAAAGGAACCTGTCACTGTGTTCTGAATGTCTAAGAATGTTATTACACAATTATTTAGAATTGTCACATCCTATTGTTCTATTTGGTGATCTGGGATTCAGTCCTTACTATGTCAAGTAAACTTAGGATGTCTACATCTTAATGTCCTCATTTAAAATGGATTTGAAAATAGTAAAACAGATATGCAATTTCAATAAATTATTATTAAAGTAAATATATTTTAGTACAGCCAATGTTTTCTATATGTTATTGTTATTCAGTACATCTCACTACACTAAAGATTTTTAATTCAGGATTATAGAGATGTTATCTTCCTCATTTATGTGCAGGAAAAAAAGTTCAAAAGGAAACATATCAACTTTTCAATCCCATATATTTTTATCTGTATTTGGATGGTCTTCAGTTGCTTGCAAGGAGGGAAACTCTCATTTGGACCGCTTTTCTTGTTTATCAAGAGTGATCACAAATGTGCATTTGAATACAAATGTTCACTCAATTTTATAACATTTGACATACAAATAATTTTCTGGTGCATATACAAAGTAAGTGTTCAATATAATATCTGAGGAAAGAGTGAGAGAATGAAGAGCAAATAGATTTGTTCATTAAATTAAAAGTAGGGTTAAGTTTCCTGAAAACATAAACTTTCTCGTTTGATTTTTGTTTTATTATATTGCAATACCTAATTCATAAACATGCAAGACTTTTTAAAGTCATGGACTCTCAAAAATGAAGATATAATGCTTTCTTTCCAAGTAATTTTCTATCGATATAGCCATCAAAAATTGACTTACTCCATTTCACAAAATATAAATCATATCTTTGTATATCATAAAAGAGAAATGGACAAAAAAGTCACTTCAAGGGTAGGTATTATCGACAAAATAAGAGATACCTGATAATAGGGACATTGTGAAATTTAAAATGGATAAGAAAATGAGAGTACTCTTCAGAAAAATGACTCCTGAAATACTGAATATAATCTTGAATGAATCTCAATAGACTAAATAGATCATCACAAAAATAGACAGGAATGAGACCAGGGTAAGGAACACATTAGCTCACAATAAAACTTTCTTTCTAAACATGTTTAATGTAGTTTATTGTGTTAAAGCACTGATTAGAAACTACAGTGATTTTGGTACAGGCAAATTCCATTCTGTTCAAGCTCATTTTCTAAAAAGGCAAGAAAATCTCCTAAAAAGTTTTCAAGTTATTTCTTCATGGTTTGAACTAACGAGGTTCAAGTGTATTTCATGGAGATTGATTCAGCATTTTGCAAGGTTACATTAGTGGTGCAGTTCAAAGTAATACAGTGATGTCAGCCTAATGCACTGTAATTGGACAAAATGAATTTCACCTGTGATATACGTGGTCTAGGCTTCTGGGACAAAAGCAGGTGTCAGATATCTACCGCCAAAAGTAATATTTCTTAAACATGTCCTGGCACTTACTAAAAAATAATTTTATAGTAATTTATTGTTTAATCCAGTCTACAATCAGAGGAAAACAGGCTTTTGCAAAGAAAGTTGATTTTATCATCTGCATGGGGCTCGGAAAGACACAAGGAAGATGGTCTGTTGAATCCTTGAAAGAACTAGATCAGGGCTTAGCTCTTGATTTCAGAATCAGAAAAGATCAAAGATCAAAAGATGGACAAAATCACATCTCATCCATAGGCTGGAGAGTCAGGGTGGCTACTGCTCCAGTCTTGCTAACAGCTTATTTTGCTGATGGTGGGTAGGGAAGCTTAGAACATCAGTTCTGCCTCGCCTTTGCTGTGACCTCAGGCAAGTCACTTCACCCTGTTAGGCCTCGGATGCCCTGTTTTAAAAATGGAAAGAGCCATTCCTACCTTTCTTGTACTAGTGCTGACAGATTCTAAGAAATTGTCATTATTGTTTTGTCCAAGTGAATGGCTTTAACAATAAGCTGAAATTTGTTAAAAAATATTTAGAGTAATTATATTGCAAGTCCCACAAATGCAGAGGCCACATCAATCTTGTTTAGCAGCACTTGGAAGGTACTCAGGTTTTGCAAAATAAATAAATGAGAGAATCTACATTGGGCATCAAATCAGTCAGAACAGTTATTCTATAGTCCAAGATTTATGTTCATACAATATCATGACAATAACTTCTCTCATTTAGCATTTATCCCTTATAAGGATCAACTACCATCACTTCTTTCATTTATTTTCACACATCTCTTATGAGTGGAGCACAGGAAAATGTCTTACATTTTAGAGAAACTGAATTATAGAGTGACTAATTTGCCTGATAAAAGTCATATTGAGAATTAAAATCCAGATCTCTGTATTCACATAACCACTGAAGAATCAGATTACTCTAAATGCATTTTATGGGTAGTATCTTTCATACATTCTATAATTACAAAAGTCCTTTCTCTGTATGCAGATACACACTTTCTTGACATTTTTGACTTTGGTGGTGGGGCAGGGGGAGTGGGGATTTAATTTTTAGCAGAAATACCTACAGAATTTTGATTTACATCTTAACTGACAATAGGAAATATTACTCAGAATTAGAAGAGATCAAGGTGTTTTTAAAAATGTACTATAAATATCAGTTTGGATGAAAGACTATGTGATACTTCTGAATGTGATACTTCTTTACTTAGGAGACCTCATTTCAGAAATTTAAGCAGCTCCCTAAATTTCTTCCTATCCTAATAATCCTGTAACCCTAAATCTGCAAAAAAATAATTAAAATAATTCAATCATTCACAGATATAAATGCCTAGAAATATATGTTAACCATAATTCTGAGTTAGAGGCTCATTATGGTAGTCTAATTTTCTACCTCTTTTTACCTGTATTGTTTCTTTAATAACAAACATATGATGCTGCTTCCACAATTTAAAAAATCAATGTTGAAAACCAAAAGAATATTATCACATTCACTGTCTTTCTTGATATTTTGCTGGAGAAAATTACATAGCCAAGCTAACTATAATGCCCAGGTTATTATTCCCAATTGTGTGAGGCTCATATAATGTACATCTCTGTGAGCTTTTCATAGTCCTTGTGCCTTCACACTCTCACTGAAAGCTTTGCTAGCCACATTGAGTTCCGTAAAGCAAAATAGTCCTTTGTCATGATTATTTATCTTTATAAGAAGCCTGAGTGCTCTGAGGTCTTGGTTTTCCACCATTTTACATCTAAAATCCTATCTAGTCTGACCTAGAGAGATTCCCACTTGTATACTTCCTAGTAGAAATTGTCTTTATGTGATCAAGATGTTTTGAAGGGAATCATCATTTTTTGACCTAGAGGTATGCATTACCCATTGTCTCCTCTCGTGTATTTCTTGAATGACTACTGGGAGTCATTCATCAAAACAGAGAGGAAAGAAGGAATAGACAACTATAGGATATTCAGCAAATTAAGGAGGAAATTCAGTTTTCTATTTAACTAGCTAGTGTGTTTAGCCAACGGAATTTCATGTGGGTAAGAGTGACCCGATGATACATCTCCTGCTATTTAATTAAACCAGTATCATACTCTTCCCTGTTTCTGTGGTTTTCTCTGTTTAATGTGACCACAATAGTTTATGTAAGCTCATTTCTAAATCTATAACTTAAAATAGGTGTATACACACAAAAAATAGATGAAGCAATAAATACGGTAAGTAATCTTAATTTTATTTATAAAATGCAGTACTGCAGATTAGTCATGGCTTTGGAGTTATTAGATGTGGATTCAAAATCCCATTTCTTCTTAATAGTCATGAAATTCTAAGCAAGTTATGTAAACTCTTAAGAGTTTCACTTAGCCCATCATTGAAATGAAAGTAAGAATATTAATAGCTTATAAAATAATTGAGATAAATAGATGTAATTGCTTAGTGTAATGCTTACATTCATGTAAAATATGGTAGGTATTTAAAAGTTCACACTGTTTGCCTTGGCTTTCTCCCAACATTTGCTCTGCAAGAGGCTCTATTAGATAAAGTGATAGCTTGTTACTAGCCTCTTATTAGATTATGTAACAGCTCTGGAAGAAGCACTTAATATTTAGAAGACAATATTTTCTCCTAGATGACCTTAGCTACCGCTGGCTTCTAAATGAATTTCCTGTATTTATCACAATGGATAAACGACGATTTGTGTCTCAGACAAATGGCAATCTCTACATTGCAAATGTTGAGGCTTCCGACAAAGGCAATTATTCCTGCTTTGTTTCCAGTCCTTCTATTACAAAGAGCGTGTTCAGCAAATTCATCCCACTCATTCCAATACCTGAACGTAAGTATTTTATTTGTTACATTCTGGTTTTGCAAGATTGTCTACATATGGTACATTTACCGTAATGAAAATAGATGCCCAGTGAAGACTAGCTGGTTTTTCAGGGAGGACAATATAGAGGAATGCACGTTTAAGGGGCCAAAGGCTTTGTTCTTCGCTTTTTGCATTGAGAAGATTCAGCTGATAAAATTGCTATCAGAAAGTGGAGTTCGGATTAGTTGCCTCTAGCTTGGGAAATGCACAGGGGACTGATACCTTAGTCAAGTTCTAGTGTATTGGTTGCAGTGGGCATCACTGGCATCTGCTTTTTGTTTTATGGCCATTCCTACTTCTTAGTAAGCTCATGAAGAAATCAAATGATTATTAGATCAAAACAACAGTAATTGTAAAATTATTTTTAAGTCATTTTGATTATTTTGATATTTTTAAGAAACTATTCACATGATAAAGTAAATAAATGGTCTTTTCTATTCTACATAATCAGCATAGGGTGCTACCCTGGGAGCACCATGGGGGATGACCATTGACAATCTCAGTGGCCTTTTCCCAGGCTCCAATTGGACTACTTCCCCTTTAAAATGCTCTGCTGCTTAAGAGAATCAAATCATAATATACTTGCTTACTTCACATCATTTCTATCCAAGTCCTTCTGCTACATTAATATCAGCAAATTCAAGCTCATGAGAGTCTACCAGCTTCAGATTGACAGACTTAGGTTTCGTTTCTGCCTTTACCCCTAAATACAGTGTGATGATGGGAAAAATGGCATAATAACACTGAGGTTCCATTTTTATTTTTCTCTGCAAGACAACACTCACGTAATTGGTATTCAAAAATATTGTTGACTTTTTGGCTCATTTTTCTTTCCTCAGTTTTAAGAAATAATCTCACCCTCTACTTCATATACTGAAAAGGAGCCATCATGTAAAAATTCTCTTGATTTTCTTTTCTACTCTGCCCAGAAATATACTTGCAGTTCAGCACATCTATTTATTTTCTTACTTTTTGTCTCAGTAGCAGAATATTTCTCCCCCTGCTCAAGCTTAGACCTCCAGTTGCTCTGGTTCATGTTCTATTTGACTCAATTAGAAACTTCACTACATCATTTATTTTCTTCTTTCCCGAATCTTCAGATTCTACTCTACCTAATTCTCTCTGCATATTGTCTTGTATTCAATGCAATTTTGAATTATTATGAATTCCTATTTGCTAAATCCAAAGAATACTTTTCAGTCCTTACTCTGAACTTTGATACTGCCCCTTCTGCCTCTCGTGAATTTTTCTTTCTTCACCTGATTCCCTGAACTCTTCATCTCTCTTCTGTCTCTCTGACAAATTTCATAGAATGTTCTTCACAAATATTCTTCTAATAATTTTCTCTAATCTTTTCCTTGATATTCTCACCCACTTACACATTTTCAACAGTATTCCTCTGCAAAAGACTTCAAGTTCATATCTCCAAAACTTTTCTTGTGTCTAGACCTCAATTCTTCCTATATCCTGGACTTGTTCCTTAAAAAGCTCTCAAAGATGTTAAGCTCAAAGTGTCATAAATACATGTGGTTTTTTCCTCCCTAAATCCTCCTCCTCTTTGGCTTATTTAGCAATACAATTTTATTTCTAACAACTCATGGTAGGATTATTTATTATCAAATCCTGGACTTCCACTGCTCTTCAGGACAGCTAACCCAGTGGTTCTTAATTAGTATGTAAGCACCTTGGGAGTTTTGGGGAAAATGTGGGACCCAGAGATACTGATTCAGCAGGCATCGAACGTGACCCAGGAATGCACAAGTTGAAGCAGTATCCCAGGTGACTCAGATGAATTGGGCCTTGAATCTACACATTGAGAAACACTGATCCAAGGAGTCATCCTGTTGTTTCTGCCTCTAAAATACAATTTATATTTATTGTTTCCTTTCTGTTTTCACCGTAACTGTGCCCTGACCTGTTTTGCCTGAAATATTGAAACAGCCTTTTTTGGACCACTGAGACTATCTTCTGTATTTCTCCTCTCCATCCTCCATCCTTTAAAAATGGCAACAAGCTCTTCTACTTAAACCAAAGATAAGATCCATATTACTTCTCTTACCAAGTCCCAGTGGCAGTTACCTGATATGGTTTGGCTGTGCCATCACCCAGATCTCACCTCAAATTGTAATAGTTTTTACTAGTCCAGGGTGGGGCCAGGTGGTGATCACTGAATCATGGGAGATGCTTTCCCTCATATTGTTCTTGTGGTACTGAATAAGTCTCATGAGATCTGATGGTTTTATAAATAGGAGTTCCCCTGCACATGCTGTCTCTTGCCCACTGCCATGTAAGATGTCCCTTTGCTCTTCCTTAATCTTCTACCATGATTGTGAGACCTCCCCAGTTATGCAGAACTGTCAGTCCATTAAACCTTATTCCTTTATAAATTACCTAGTCTCAGGTATGTCTTCATTAGCATCATGAGAACAGACTAATAGATTACCTGTTGAGAAAATTCATCTCAAATTCTTTAATATCATTTTTCAGTCCTTCTAGATTGTGGGTTCAAGCTCATATACTTCAGCATCATTTAAGCTCCTAGACCTTTTAAAATTCCTTGCACACTCCTGAAGCTTTGTAGTAATATGCTGTTTCCTCAACCTGAACTGGTCCAATTTAAATGCCATATTTGCTGCAGAGTCCTATAGCCCTTGCCTACTTCTAACTACCCTCCTCATCAGTCACTCTTTCAGAGTACCCATTTTGGTTTGGCTTATATATCAGATCATTATTTATTTATTTGACTCTTTAGCATTTTACAGTGTAAGGTACACACTCAATTTGTGATCCTAAACAACGCTTTTCACCTTTCTGAGCCTGTTTTTTTCTCTGTAAGCCTGAAGGATTAATACATCTTTCAGGACTGATATGCTAAATAAATAAAGTGTCTATTTTGAAGAGTGCCAGTTGTCTGAGTAAATGTTTTCCTTCTTTCCCTCTCTCCTTCCCATTTTTCAATTTATTGCCCATTCCCGTTATCTCTGTGGTCATTTCTTTTCTCCTTAGTTTCTTGCCTTGCCTTTTTCTTTTCTACTCTCTTCTCCTTCTCTTTCCTTCTCCCTCATTTTCTTTCTCCACCTTCCTGAGTTCCATGTGGCACTTATCACAATGTTTTACACATATCTGATGCGCTCTAAAGACTTGACTTTTTTAGTAAATTGAGTCACATTGGTTATGCAACTGTCAGAATGAGCTAATATTATTGAGAATGCTGGGAAGTTATATTACATTCATACTGTGCATAAACAAAGAAGTCTATCCATTACGATATGCGCAGTACCTGTACAGAGAAAAGCTTCTGTATTGAAGCAGTTCTAATCCTACAGGATTACCACGTTTAGGAAAACTGTTGTGCTTAATAATTAATGGATATTTGTATTTCTCTTAATATCAGGAACAACAAAACCATATCCTGCTGATATTGTAGTTCAGTTCAAGGATATATATGCATTGATGGGCCAGAATGTGACCTTAGAATGTTTTGCACTTGGAAAGTAAGTATACTGACACTTTTATTAACATATATAGAAATTGTGCAATTTTAGAAAATAAATAACTGTTTAGCCATACACATAAAGTAATTGTCTTTTAAGTGTGTGAAACTTTAGAACTTGTATCTTCTATTTAAAGTCCTGTTCCAGATATCCGATGGCGGAAGGTTCTAGAACCAATGCCAAGCACTGCTGAGATTAGTACCTCTGGGGCTGTTCTTAAGATCTTCAATATTCAGCTGGAAGATGAAGGCATCTATGAATGTGAGGCTGAGAACATTAGAGGAAAGGATAAACATCAAGCAAGAATTTATGTTCAAGGTAGATATTTTAATTTTGTATACGTTTCATCAGTATCTTACTTAGAGCCATTTCCATACTTGAAAAACTACTATATAATGATTAATATTTTTAAAAACAGTGATGTATGTTACCTTCATGGGGAAAGATAAAACTATTTCTCATATGTCTAATGCAGTCACAACTATGTGTTATAGAAGTTACAAACTTATTACCAATTGAACCGTAGATAATAGCAATGGATTGACACAAGTGTTACTGGTAATTTTCAGAATATACAATTAATGTAGTTTGCTTACTTGTTTTATCACTGTCTTTTTCAGTATGTTTTTATTTATAGAACTTGTGTGTTATGACTTAGTTTAAGTCAGTAGTTTGCAAACTTAAGCATGCATGAAAATCATATGGAGGGCTTATTAAAACACAGATAGCTTGCCCCCACTCTCAGAAGTTTTTATTCAGAGGTCTGTTGGGGGTCATGAATTTTAACAAATTCCCAAGAGATACTAATACTATTGGTCCTGGAGTCACACTTTGAGAACCACTGGTCTAAGGAATTGTTTTTCTTTGAGAAAATTATCTTGGCACAAGCCTTTGATTTTCACACATTAAAATAAACTTACATTTGGGAAGACAGATTTTTTTTCAGGCCACATTGGAAACATTCCAGACTGAAATAATCTCTATAGTGTTCCACAACATGAACCTGCAGGTCACACAGAATAAACATTGAGGGCTTACACAAGATTATTCATTTTTAATTCTGGCTACTGTCCCATTTCACTGCCTCCTGTCTCTCCCAAAAAGGAATTAAAATTTTGACAGATACACCCATACTCTCTAAAAGTGCTGTCACCATCTCCAGTTTTTCTTCTCTCTTAAATGCACTCCAACTTGATTTGCATCTCCACCTCTCCACAGAAACCTTTCTTTCCATGACCACCGACTTCCATATTGCTGAAGCCCATGGTCAATTCTTAGTTGTACTTTGTTTAATCTAACAGAAGTGGTTGCCACAGTTGGTCCCTCCCTTCTTCGTTATTCACTTTCTGTGCTTCGTGACTGGGACCCACTTTGTTATGAATTTTCTTGTATAATCTTTCATTCTCCATTGATGTTTCCTCCCAACTCCATACCTTTCTAACATTGGCGTGATCAGCGTTCCATCTGTGAACCTCATCTCCATTTCAGTCACTCCCTTTAGCATCTCATTCATGATCATGGCTTTAGACACACTCTATACACTGAATGCTCTAACCCAGACATTTATCCTGAACCTCAGACTTGTACATCCAATGCCACAGTAATGTTAATGTGATACATATGAAGTATGCACGAAATGGCCTCCTGAAAGGGAGAAAAGTCTAGTTAAGAGCTTGTAAACTTTTGAAATAAATCTATCACTTTCTACCAGGTTTCTAAAGCTTATAGACATGTTTTTATTCAACATATTAAGAAAGCTACACTCCAGGTTATCAGCAGAGTAGAATTTTGAACTGTTTAAAGCCTTGGAAGAACCAAGGTGACAGAGCAGGTATTTATAGCAGGTAATTTAAGAGAAATATTATTTCTTCTTTACTAATGCAGCATACTCAGTATTATCTTTAGGTCTGATCACATCACTTGAAATTTACATAATTAAGCCATATACAGAATGTATCAAGCCAATTCAATTATTCAGTATATAACGTAATAGCAAATGTCTGTGTTACCTATGTGAGACCAAGACAGGAAAGGTGATAATATTCCTGTATTATGTATTGTATACAAAGTAAATTATATACAATTAAGATTGTATACAAAGTAAAACCTCTCTCAATGAACATGAACGTATCCACCAATATTTAAAAAAAATCTCTTTATGTTATGGACAGATATACTGATGAGTGAAAAATTGTACTAAATAAGATTATATATGCTATAAAATATGTATATAGGTGTACATATGTCTACATATAATATATACATTATAATGTGTAATATTGATGGTATTTGGTGAGATTACAAAAAATGTTTCCTAGTTTTAACATTTCTGGCATTTTATTACTTGTTAAATGCTTTATATAAGATGTATATATTGCTTTTGCCATAAACTTAATACAAGTTCCCATTTTCAAAGAAAATTATTTTCCACTCAGGACTCTTTCTTCCTACTTCCATTTTATTTTATATTAATTTATTTATATGCATCTATTTGGACTAGAAAACTGAAATAATCAAAAAGACCATCAAACTATTCATTTGCTTGTTCTCTAGAAATATTTTTTTCTTAGGAACATTTTTATCATTTTCTCATTTTTATGGGTGTTTCTTTAGATATCAAGTGAATCAGATTAAAGAATGAGACTGAGATCAATTTTATTCACGCATGGATTTCACCAATCATGGCTACTATATGTAGTTTCTAATATGGAAAGAGTATATTTAAGTATCCAACTAATTTTTCTAGCACCACAGTAAGATGTTACAGTGGCCACTAGCTGAGTTACATCAAGATGAAGATAACGTATACTTAAAGGAGTGGGGAAAAATCTGAATCTTTATCCAAAAGGTTAAGAGATGGTATCATATTGAATTGAGACATAATTATTTAAAACCTCAACTGTCATTTTGACAGACTTGAAAGATTTATGTTATGAGCAGAAAAAAATCAATTATTTTAGTACTAATTGTAACTCAGCTTTTCAACAAAACATGATTTAAAAATGGAAAAATAATGACTGAGTTATAGTTACCTCCTTTTAGGGTAATATGGGATTTGCATAGGTTAAACCTATACAAAGAAAAGGCCTATGCAAATACAATTTTGATGGCTCAAATACTGAATGTGTGATACCTATAATATCTGATGTATTCTGCAGAATAAGGTTTACTAAATGTAGTATGTATATTCTGGATATTATGATGGATCTTGAGACTTGCATTTAAAATGTACAATGTTTCTTACTTTTTAGCATTCCCTGAGTGGGTAGAACATATCAATGACACAGAGGTGGACATAGGCAGTGATCTTTACTGGCCTTGTGTGGCCACGGGGAAGCCCATCCCTACCATCCGATGGTTGAAAAATGGATATGCGGTATGTATGTTCATGTACTTTGCTGTTCCTGAGTCCCTGTTCAAGCAATGTTTCAGGGTGGTCCTGGGATAAATTTAGCAGGAGAATCAATAGAGAAAGAGTACTTGGGCCCTGAAATATAAAAGCTTCCTAAAAAATACAAAAACTGAACATAAAGTATCTTCTTTCAGTTTAAACAACTTTCTGTAATCTTACTCTACCTTCTTTCTCTCTCTCCTTATTTTTTCCTTTGTTCCACTTTTCCACCCTCTTCCTACTCATCCATCTCCAATACCTGATACTGTCCTCTTTTTCTTGCCACTATTTTCCTGTACCCCACAGAGACAGAGGTAAGAGTGAAGCTCTAAGTCCTACCTTTGGCCCTGGGGACAAGTAGCAGCAGTGGGATTCTTCTCTACCTTCCCACTGTAATCTCCCAGCTGGTCCAAGAGGGGAAAAGGTGGACTGTCAGCTCTGTAGGATGAATAGAACAAGAGCCTTTGGGCATGGTAAGTGGGTTTCCTTTCCCATGCCATGAAAATCCCACTCAGTTCATCTTAGGTAACAGTGGGGGCAGATGAACATAATGTATCTAAATTAAAAGACAACCAAGCCCAAACCTAAGTGAAAGTATTACTATTACAGTTCATTGAGAATATGTTTAACTTTTATTCTTTTCAGTATCATAAAGGGGAATTGAGACTGTATGACGTGACTTTTGAAAATGCTGGAATGTATCAGTGCATAGCTGAAAACACACATGGAGCCATTTACGCAAATGCTGAGTTGAAGATCTTGGGTCAGTATCATTTCTAATTTCTTAAACATTCATCAAGAAGGTGACATATTAAAAAAAATGATGGAGTATCCATGGATCACATTTGATTTCACAGTATGTTCTTTAATGTCCAATGTTAAAAACTTTTAAAATGCAGCGGGGAATGAAATGATACGGTTTTTCCTTTCATTGAAGAACATTTAAGCAGGGAGGAAGTAAAACTTTAAACTTCTTATGCTAGTTGAAAATTCCGACTGCATACAAATTCCTGTTGCATGAAATTGCATCATTTTATTTTTAGCTAAGAAGCTGAAGTCTATAATAAATTTGAAGGAACATGGACTATAATTGTTTTTGGCATTTTTTTTAATGATAAAGCACAATTTACACATGACAATTTTGACAAGTCGTCTTATCCTCTCATATGCCTGGACAGCTGAACACTGCCTGCAGAATCACATAACGTTGAAGACTGATGCTAAAACACTGCATGTGATCCAGCCTCAGATGAGTATTTGGCCATTTTTGGGACATTCTCAGTCCCTGGGTCTCATACCCTACAGTTGCAATTCAGAACTTTTAGGACATTCTGCAAGTCCCTTACTGCACCCTGACTCTGGCTTTCATATTGTATTCTTGTGCTCCATGAAAATTGAAATCGTTTGGCATAAAGGATTGCAACTTCCCATCCACTCAAAGCTATCTCTTTACTACATTTGTCTTTTCAATACTCTTTATCTAGAGAAGAAAGAATCTCTCCTAAGCAAATGTCAATTATTTTACCTCTCTGTACTATATTCATTCCTTTTCATTTTTCCTGATACTTGATATCAACAGCTGTTCATTATCCTGTGTGTGTATGTGTATGTGCCGTGTGTGTGTGTGTGTGTGTGTGTGTGTGTCTGAAAATATATCCACCAGTTGCCTCTCTTTCTGGTCCTGTATTATCTTTCTTCTTTCTTTGGTGATTCTGAGCCGTAAGACCTCACAGACCATTACTTCTCTATCTCCTTCACTGTCACCTTTTTCACCCTCTCCTCTGCCTGGCTAGAAATCTTGCTCTATCCCAGCATTCCATTTCTCTGATCCATTTCATTCCTTTTTCCATTTCCCTTTATGTATCCTACATTATTATGCCTGGTTTTTATTTTTATTTTTAAAATTTCTAGTTAATTTTTTCTGCATCTCCTATTACTTACTAGTGATACCATGATTTATATCTCTGGCCCAGATAATTATCCTTAGCTTCAAGCTCAACAGAAATACTTCCTAGTAGCAATATTCATTTGGATAATCCCACAGATAATCCAAACTTAGCATGTCTGCAGTTGAGTTCTTTTTTAATATCTCCCACCCACACTCACATTTCCTCCTCAAAGATTCTTTGTTCTGAAGAATGGCAGAGTTCATCACGTCCCTTCCCCATCCAGTACATCTGCTAAACTTCTGCAATTCACACCAGAAATATATCCCAGGTGTTTTATTATGACTGCTTTATGTATATTCACTACAACTACTTGAAAAAAGTCTATTTTTTTTAGACAGTCTCTCTCTATCTAGGGTTTTAGTGTCAATTTGTAGGGATACCAATATTTTGAAGAAATATAATCCTATTATAATTTTAATATATGTTTAATAAAATTGAATTTAATAAGATTTACAATAATTTATAATATAATAAATTATGATTTATTATAATTTAATAGAATTGTATATAAATTATAATACTATTAAAATATCCTATTAATTTTTTTAATGTTTTTGAAGCAGTATGTCGTGTCACACAAAATGTTTATTGAGCCTACACAAAATACCCAGTACTGTGTTAGGTCTACAACATAGGTCGGTTGTTTACTAATTTATGTATTGCCAGTTATCCCTTTACCAAGCTAAAGTGAAATGGTGTGATTTCAGTTAACTGCAATTTCTACCTCCTGTGCTCAAGCCATCCTCCCACCTCAGCCTCCCAAGTAGCTGAGACAACAGGCACACTTCACCACACCCAGCTAAACGTTTTATTTTTTGTTGAGATGGAGTTTCTCCATGTTGCTCAGGCTTGTCTAGAACTCCTGAGTTAAGTGGTCTACCCATTTTGGCCTCCCAAAATGTTGGCATTGCAGGCATGAGCCACTGTGCCCAGCCCAAAAGTCTTACTGTATTATGTCCTTTTCATGTTATTTGAAAGAGTTGTCACTAGGTCAAGTCATATTGTAAGTAGTGAATTGAGGAAGTCAGGCTTTTTCTTCTAGCATTAGTTACTGACAAGATAAAGCAATGACTCAATGTGGCCACTTTTATTCTTGCTGCACCCAAAGAAAACTCTTCAAAAACACTGGTATCCCTACAGACTGACTGACACTAAAAGAAAATAGTAGGAAATAAGAGAATTATAAAGAAGTAAATAAAACTAGTCTCAATAAGTTAAGGCCATCTTACTTTTTTTTTTTTGAGATGGAGTTTTGCTCTTGTTGCCCAGGCTAGAGTGCAGTGACGCATTTTCGGCTCACCACAACCTCGCCTCCTGGAGTCAAGCAGTTCTCCTGCCTCAGCCTCCCAAGTGGCTGGGATTACAGGCATGCGCCACCACGTCTGGCTAAGTTTCTGTATTTTTAGCAGAGATAGGGTTTCACCATGCTGGCCAGGATGGTCTCAATCTCTTGACCTTGTGATCCACCCGCCTCATCCTCCCAAAGTGCTGGGATTATAGGCTTGAGCCACAACACCCGGCCAGGCCATCTTAATTTTAACATTCCAATCCACTTATAATGCTGAAGATCATACTCTATTTCTTCCTCCCTAAAGCCTCAATTTCCTGGTAATATATTTACTCTAGTTTCTTGGGTATCAAGAAAGCATCACAAGCTCAGATATCTTTGGTAAAAAAGAATATAAAATCATTTTGACTCAGAGAAGTCAGTTTGAATTCTTCCCCAAATGTAAATTTTATTTTCTGTTAAAGTTCGTATCTTCATATATTACCAAAAAACAGTATAAAAATTCCTCAGCTCAGAAAGATTTCTATATATTCAGGTTAGAATTGTCAAATCTTTTAATGACTATTAATGTAATAACTAGCAAACTGAACAATTTGATCCTCCCCAGATCAATAGCTCTGGACATGTTTAAATTTGTCTCAATCCATTCTTGTTTATTATACTCTTATGCACAGTGCTTCTCTTTTCATCTCTTTTCCTGGGTTAGTTAATTCATGTGTTCATCCAGCAAATATTTATTGAGCACTTATTCTATACCAGATGCTTTTCTTTTAATAGGTTCATGTATTACAATAGAGAACCAAAGACACAAGAAATGCATCATGCCTTCATCTTAATTGAGAGGAAGGATATCCCCTTATTTTTTGCCACCTCCAAAACATATATAGGAACATAGTCTAGGTCCTGTTGTTAGAAATGCAAATATTAGATAAATCTGAAGTCATTTAAAGGACCATACCAAATCAGCTATTTCATTAAAACCTAAACTGATTCAAGGAAAATCCTTATTTTCTATCTAAATTTTGGTTTTAAAAATATAATCCTATTAAATTTTCTTTTATGTTTTCAAAGCAATATGTCATGTCACACAAAATGTTTATTGAGACTGTACAAAATACCCAGAACTGTGTTAGGTGTACAGCATAGGTTGCTGCTTACTACTTTATTACCAGTTATCAAAATTCAGACTAACAAAAAAATGGGATAGAATGAATCTTTGCCACAAAAGGTGTCTTCCCTGGAGCATCAGCAGCAGTGGCCATACCAAGGAGTACATTAGAAGTGCAGAATCCCACGCTCACCCCAGACCTACTGAATGGACACTTTAAAAACATCCCCAGGTGATTTCAATACACAGATAAATTTGAGAATGAGCAGACTAGATGATGAAGAGTCAAAACTCAGATAAAGATATGCCGAGGCCTAGAAAAGCCTCCAGAAAGTACGCAGTTACAGAAGATTGTCACATGTTGAAATATATGGATGAAATCTGCTTGGGGTTTGCCAAGAGAAAAGGAGAGTGAGCGGTAGATTGAATGTGGGAAACCTGAGGAGAGTCAGAGCATGCCAGCAAAGGAGTATTCTTTTCTGATAAGTATTGTTCTTTACTTGGATGTAAGGATGCACTACAAACAATCATGTTCTCCTTAACTCATTGATTAGATCCATTATTCCCATAGCTGTTTATGGATAGGTGCTGAAAGCAGGGCTTCAATTATTTTGGCATTTTCCAGAGCATCTGCATACAGTTGATACTCAGTAAATGTATAAAGGAGAGATTGCATTGTTTAATGAAAAGCACATGCTTTGGAAACAGAAGGACCTAGATTCAAATGTGACTCCCGGTGATTACTACCTGTGGCACCTTTGCCAAATTAGGTCATCCTAATAGATTTCAGTTTTCTCATTTATAAACTGGAGATAGTTCATTCAACATGTGTTTGAGAGGACTGACTAGGATCATATGTCAGTGTGTATAATGCTGGTCAATTTTCTCCAGCCTTTCATTTTACTTTCCTTGTGGGATTGAGTCAAAACAACTGAATTTAGTGTTAATTTTAAGGTAAATGTGTATAAAACATTTGATTGAAATTAAAGTGATTGATTGATTGAGACAGGGTCTCACTGTGTCACCCAGGCTGGAGTGCAGTGGTACAATCACAGCTCACTGCAGACTTGACCTAGATTCAGGTGATCCTCCACCTCAGTCTCCTGGATAGCTGGGACTACAGGTGGGCAAACATGCCCAGCTAATTTTTTGTATTTTAGGTAGAGATGGAGTTTTGCCATGTTACTCAGTCTGCTCTCAAACTCCTGGGCTAAGCCTTCTGCCCACCTCAGCCTCCCAAACTGCTGGGATTATAGATGTGAGCCACTATGCCTGAACTCTAATAAAGTTTCTAATAATCAATTTAGTTATCATCAAGAACTGTACATTTGAATTGGGTGAATTTTATGATAAGTAAAAGTTATTAAAGTTACAAACAAAACAGTAGGTAAAGAATGCCTATTGGTGACAATTGATCATATTTACTGAAATTAATCCTTTCCAATAAACATGAAAAAGAATAAAAGATTCTGTAACACAGAAGCAATGTTTAGGCTTTACAAACAAAAAGAGAAAAATAACAATTTGTTTTCTTTTTAGCATTGGCTCCAACTTTTGAAATGAATCCTATGAAGAAAAAGATCCTGGCTGCTAAAGGTGGAAGGGTGATAATTGAATGCAAACCGAAAGCCGCACCTAAACCAAAGTTTTCATGGAGTAAAGGGACAGAGTGGCTTGTCAATAGCAGCAGGTCAGTGCTGAAACTAGACATCCAATTGCAATAAACTGTTGGAAAAAGTTTATTTTATAGAAGACATGTTTATATGTTAATAATGAAAATGTTTTTTGTTCTAAATTATTTTTTTTTTTGCCACAGAAGATCCTGTAGTTCTAAGATGAACAGAAATACCTATCCCTGTCAGTATGTATTATAATGAAGGTTGAATTAACAGTACTCTATTATGTATAGGGAATTTAGAAAATTGAGGCTCAAAGGTGTTTTTTGCCGTTCTTGTTAGAAATTGCCCAGTGACACTAAGCTAATAAACAATGGGAAATAAAATAGGATCTCTCTAACGTATTTTCCCCCTAACATAGGCATCTATATCCATTCATATTCAACTGAATTTTATGCAATTAGCCTATTAAATATTCTGTAGAAAAATAAAAAGGTGATTTCAAAGTATAAATAATCTCTTCTCATCTTGAAATGAATAACATGTTATCTTTCTTATAAGTAGACCACCTACCAATGTTTCAGTGGTTTTGAGACAAAATGGAAAAGCAGTGTATGACTTACATAGATTATTTGTATAAAAGCCACACTGAATAGTTTGTATGTTTCCTAAAAGAAGTAGTATTGAGTGCAAAAATTATGAGGAGGAGAAAGCCAGGATTGGTGAGAGGGATGGGATGCGGGGGTTGGCTTGGGGGTGTATTTCGGGATGTGAGGGCAGCATCACAAAGGCGCTATGGTGAGGAGTTTAGAATGTGTAAGAAATTGGAGAAACTAAAATCAGTATGATTTGTTTGTAGAGGAAATTGGAGGAGACTTTTAAGGGATGAGACATAGTAAGCCAGATCATAAATGACAAAGTTTTCTATGCTAAGGGAATTGGGCTTCATCTAAGAGTAATGGAAATCTGTTTAAAAGTCTTAAACAAGAAAAAGGACAAAGATCACTTTTGTCACTTGAAAGACTATTCTTACTCAAGTGTAGAAAATATATTATTTTCTTAACAGTAACCCAATAAATAACATTGGAATTCTCATCCATATTTTGAAGTCTCTAAAGCTTGGTAAAGTTAAAGTGACCGTCTGCAAAAATATATTGATGATATCCAAACTAGAACTTGAAGTTGTAAGACATTGATATGAATTGAGAGTATGCCAACACAGGCCTCTTATTAGGATGAACACAGGCATGGCTGTTTATGGAATGGGGGAAGATGGAAGGGACAGCAGGGGCTTCCCTGAACACATTAACTTCTAAAGTTAATATGTTTGACCTAAGAGTTGTTAAGACTTTAACAAAATGATATTACAAGAAGTGTTAAAGGAAAAGTCCATTTGTTCTATTTGCCACTGAAACATTAATGTTCAGAAAACGAGCAATGCAGAAACCGTGATGAAAGGGCAGCCCCATGTGTAGGTGCCTACTCCTTCCATAAGCTACAGCATGGCATTTCCCATTGGACAAACCATTAGTTCTCCCTCCTCAATGACAAAATCTTGTTCTGATTCTGATGAAGACCCATGTCATGGACCTCTTCAACCACAGACTTCCCAGAACAATGTTTCATGGACTTGTTTTTTCTAAATATCAGTATGTGTTCAAAAAAAAGAGAAAGATTTAGCTCCTGAAATTTTACAATTTTGATTTTTCATAATATTCTTAAAGCCTTTGAAATCAAATTGTGTTATTTCCTTGATGAAAGAGTCTGTAAACCAAATTTTTACTTAGTACTTTAACCCATTAATACCTCAGTGTAAGTACCATTTTATAGTAGGTATGGTATTCATATGCAAATATATTTGAATTATAAAATAGCATGTATAAAAAGCTAAATATAAAAATTTTGGTGTTTATTTTGAAAAAGAATAACCAAGGACTAACTTATTATTGGTCTTAAAGCATAAATATAGCCTTATTCTTCTGAAAATAATTATAAAAACAATTTCCATATAACAAAGTTATTTTTGTATCTGGTTAGTGGCCTATAGACTGGTTTATGTGATATTCCAGAGAAGCTATGCATCTCTATAAATGGTAATTAGGTTCTCATTTTATGATTTTATTTTGGATTCAAATGAAATACTTTCTGCAGCAGAATTTCTTTTTAATTAGCAGAATTAAGATAGTTGCTAATTTATATTTAATTTAATTAACTGCTATTAGCTCTAAAGTCATTTTTATTTAAACCACTTAAAGGAGGGGATCTTCATTATTCTTTTCTACTCCAGATGCCATTCTGCAGTAATCCTGCAACAATAAGTGACCAGCTGGTTGAAGACCAGATGCTTCCTCGTTTGTTTGACAGCTGATCTATATCATAGTATCTGGAAATAAGGATAAGATCATGAGCATTTAATCTATATTGCTTTAAGAATAACAAGAATTATTATTTAAGAACTTAGGTTTTCTAAATATTTTTGTTAAAAAGTAAATTTAATCTCAAGGGCAAACCACCTAAAAGTATAAATGGTATGAATGACACATGGAATTACGTATACCCTTTAAAGATGGTAAAGATCAATTGAAAACTAACATAAGTAAGCTCAAAATACTAGTGTGGATTTAAGAAAGAATCATCATTGTTTTTTCCACTGCCACTTGATTATAATTTTGTCATGTCTCTTGAAAAACAGTTAAATAGGACGGATGTGAGTATTTGGCTAAGGACTTATACTAGAGCTTGGTGAGAAATAGTGCGGTACATTAATATTGGTACTGTAGTAATGTGTGTCCTCCAAATTTCTAATGCCAGGAAGATTAGCTATGTAAGAAATTAATTAATGGCAATGCATAGGAGGGAAAATAGAGAGGAAACTGGTGGAGGCTCAGGGAGGTATTTTACTGAGATACAGGTCTGATCCCAAATAAAGGACAGAGGGAAGGAAGGTAAAATGATTAGGTTGAAATGACTTGGACTGCACTGCAATTTTAAGAAAATATGGTAATGCTACTAAAGAGTCTTCCAGTCAAAAATGCATGTCAGAGGAGTTTATTGTCTTCCAGGAACAGGCATGGTTTAGAACTCCTCCCATGCTCAGTCATTGACTGAGAACAGCCTGTGGAATGTGTGGCTCTGAATAAATACAGTGATGGATTTCTGAGTACAGCGTCTGGGACAGAGAATCAATTATACTCCCCAGAGTTGGAGAAGAAGGCATATTCTCAGAGCCTCCATGATCTTAAATAGTTACTTTTATTGTTATATTATTTTGATACTGCATTTCTCCTTCAACAACAAAAAGTATTCTGAAATGAGCTTCCAGTCGGGACTGGATTGTTCAAGAAAAGAAAGGAAATCCTGGACTATAATATTAGTGAAAATTTTTGATATTTTCTTATATGAAGATTTTTATTATTAAGTTAGATAGTTCTTTTTTTCTTTTATCAGACTTTGCCCTTAAAATGGATATATGTTTGCATGCTTTCTGCAAACTTTCAAAGATACTTTAGTTTTGAAAATTAACTATTTAAAGAAAGTAAAAATCCAGTGACAGGCAATTCAGTATTTAAGTATGAGTTTCTGTACAATACAATTTGGTGAATTTTTAGTCTCCATCCCCTGGGGAAGAGGCTGACAGGCAGAAAAAATATGTGTTGTATAAAAGATTTAGTTTCTGTTCAAAGAAGAATTTCCTAAATATCAGTTTGTTCCAGAAGTTGTTACCAAGGAAGGTTTTAAATATTTTTTAGTTTCTAAAAATAAAATATATTTATATTTCTCTGTAGCCATGAAAATGGCAGTTTTCCCTCACTTCCTAGTCTGAATTGAGGTCCTGAGGTTACATTTCTGGGAGACCTGGGCTCGTTTCTTTTAGGCCTATGACTGATTTCAGCTTGTCCCATAGTGGACACTTGGTTAGATGACTATGGCAATAGTTCAGATAAAAGAAGAAAGTGGATTTCTAAAACAAATAGTCAAAGCTGAGAAAATATATTATAACTAAAGGCTAGAATTTTTCAACTTACAAAAATGTCTGTGGTCGCATGATTTATATAAAATGTAACAATTGAAAAATATTAGTGTTTGTAAACTAAGATAATTTACTAAATCAGATTTGTGAATTATGTATTTTTTATTTCACTAGAATACTCATTTGGGAAGATGGTAGCTTAGAAATCAATAACATTACAAGGAATGATGGAGGTATCTACACATGCTTTGCAGAAAATAACAGAGGAAAAGCTAATAGCACTGGAACCCTTGTTATCACAGGTAAGTTAATGTTTGAGGGTGCTTAATTTCTAACGCTTTAAAAAACATGTGATTCAGCATTAAGCATCTAAACAGTCAATGTATTTGTAAGTTTCTGTTTCAAAAGTATTTCAGGCAACTTTCTTGCTTGATGATATTGTTCTTGGAATTTGGATGTGAAAACATATTATTTGACACAAATAAAAATATATATAGGTTTTTATGAAATAAATATGTATAGGTTTTTATTCTTTTAATATATCAGATAATGTGGTGTCTTACATCTTCTCGAATTGTGCTTTACTTTTTTATGTAAAAATGTATAGATCCCACGCGAATTATATTGGCCCCAATTAATGCCGACATCACAGTTGGAGAAAATGCCACCATGCAGTGTGCTGCGTCCTTTGATCCTGCCTTGGATCTCACATTTGTTTGGTCCTTCAACGGCTATGTGATCGATTTTAACAAAGAGAATATTCATTACCAGAGGAATTTTATGGTATGTGTTTTAAGTTTCATCTTGTTAACACCTTAGTGATTCCTTTGTGTCTGCGTTGAAAGTTCTGTTATTATAATCATATTTTATATGATTTTCATTTTTCATGAGACCAAAAAGAAGACAAAAAAGCTTTTTGTAGTTCTCCTTATATTAACTGTTGTATTCCCAGATGGCTAGCTCTGAGGATTTTTGTAGAAATATTAATCAATTAATATTAATTGGGCTTCAGGTGTGCTCTCCCCTTTAATTTTAATTCAGTTTTACACTGATGTGTACTACACGTCAGTACACATGTGCCCTCGGTTCTAGCGCCTACCTTTTTATTTTTAAAGAATTAAGAGTGTAGAACTTAATCTTTGTTGCAATGATGACTTTAAAGCATTTATATTATGCTTTTATGGTAAGAAATGGACAAAATACATATGTTGGAGAATTTGGAGAATTCGTTTATGTGATTTGAAGAAGGTTAAATGGCTCTATTTTAAGAATTGAAAAGTGTTAACATTCTGTAAGTCCGACAGATAAATAGTGATATAAAGAGTCAAGGTGTAGGGAGAAATAAAATAGAAAAAATTGGGAAGTAATACAGGCAGAATAATTTCTATAGGAATATTGTTAGTGTCTTGGTAGACTGTCTAGGTCAGGCGTCCCCAAACTACGGCCCGCGGGCCGCATGTGGCCCCTGAGGCCATTTATCCGGCCCCCCCGCCGCACTTCAGGAAGGGGCACCTCTTTCATTGGTGGTCAGAGAGAGGAGCACAGTATGTGGCGGCCCTCCAACGGTCTGAGGGACAGTGAACTGGCCTCCTGTGTAAAAAGACTGGGGACGCCTGGTCTAGGTTATAGTATATTTAAAAAGTAAATTAATCACTGGCCATACCAGCCTCTTCTTTAGAAAGGCAACTATTTGAAAGACTAGAACCTAATTAGAACATAGGCTTAATTAAGAAAACTTGCATTTTAGAAGTCAGTTATTAATATAGGAAAAGAAGCATGCATAAACTTCTTAGGACATTTAAAATTGTTTCAGTCCCATAAAATCTGAAGATTGATATGTACACATTATGACATTATGCTTTCATATTGCCCAGCCATGTTTATAACCTTAGAAGAGTTTTAATTTGACTGATCTGGCTACAACTGTACATCTATAGTAAGCCTACCAATCCTCTTTCAGTTTCTGAACCAAAATTATACTTTAAGGAATAACAATTGAGAATTGGCAGAGAACTATACATTTTGTATTTTGACATTATACCATGTGATATATTTTCCATATAGATCTGAAACTATTTTGCACATGCCCAAAATTAGTAAAATTGGCACCAAAGTCTCCAATACTTTCTTTAAATTGTATTTTATTTTGCAAGAAAAGTAAATACAACTCAGGTTTTATTCATTTTAAGGGAAAAAAGTGAGCTGAACAGGATCCTAATTTGAAAGGACTATCTATGGTGCTATAAATTGAAAAATTTCAAAAATAAAGTCTAGGAGTCCCACAGCCGTATAAAGTAGTAACTAATTGCTGCAGTGAAGTCTACGTAAATAAATTTTCAGACAAAAATTGCCCTGAACAGAAATGTCATATTTAGAGGTTATTTGTGTTTTTTTTTATAATACTAGTTACATTGTGTTGGTTGATGTAAATAACCACTGCAAAAGAAAAAAGAAGATAAAGAAAATTAAAAAGAAAAATGGAGCCCAGTCCCTTAAAACAACAACAACAACAACAACAACAAATAGAAAACAATGAAATAACTGGAATACTAATTAGGAAATAATAAATTAGGCCATAAAAATGTAAAAGACCTTGTAGCCACTTAGTGCACATGCTCCCTTTTCAGATGATAGCAGCAGAGACTCACATAAAGTTGCCCCTCAGCTAATCCAGAGCAGAGTCCTGACTGCAGGCCCAGTCTCAGGACTCACTGCCTCAGGTTTCAGTTCATCCCATCAAATAATAATATGACAGTGGCAGCAAACCTACTCAACTGGCTAGATATGCATCTTAATTGAGTAAGAATATCAAATGCACATTTTTAGCACTCTGTAGATGGACAGATGCATTCAGTTATTTCGATTTTTTAAAACCTCAGATAAGAATCATCATTTTAAAATAAATAATTAAACTGAATTCTGTCTTTCAAACCAACACAAGACTAATGTAGCTTTCCCTGGCACCTTCCTTCTCTTTTAAGGCGAACTACAAAGTTAGACTTCACTGCTCAATATACCATGCAAAATTTAAGTAAAAACACCATAAATATTTGATCCACCTTTTGGAAGAGAGTTTTAATGCCTAATAATTGCTTCTGGGCTTGTTAGTAGATCATTTGCAGAAGAAGTGACTTCTCTTATCAAAAGCCTAATGAATGAAATCTTAATGGGGATAGCGATATTGAGGACAGCAAATGTGAAGGAAGAAACGTGGCCAACCTGCATTTGTCTTTTATTCAAAACCACACAGGCAAAAATTTCAATATATGTATATATACATATACTGAAATTTCTTAGGTGTGTCATATATGTATAAACACACAAGAAACATATATAAATATAAACATACATGTTCCTTGTGTGTGTATAGATATCATATATATGTTTCTTATATTTATATATATATACATATATATATATTTTAAATAATATTTGGTATTTTATACCAATATAATATATTGGTATATGGCACTATTTCAACAATTGAATAGCATTTGATCATTTAAGAATATGTACTGAACACATAACATAAGCAGACACAGGTTTTGGCACTAAGGTAAATAAAACACTGAAATAGACACACATACCAGACCAAAATAAATCAATGATACCCCGAGAGTTAAAGATTCATGTTTTTTGTTAGTCATTACAGTTAAAACCATTAACATATTTTAACAATTTTCATTGCTAAAAATTAATACAAGAAGTTCTGACTAATATGAAAACATTATAGAAATAAAATTTTAAACATTTTATTTAAAGAGCCTAAGTTTTTATTTTCCAATTTAGTTTCAGTAATAAATTGAATTCAGTAATCAAGTATGCACTGATTTTAGCTTGCTATTCTTGTTTTAACCACTAAGGGGCAACCTTGTATAAGGTTTCAAATTTCACAGCCTGGAGTAAGTTGGGATTTCTTTTTCTTCATGAAATTGAACAGATGCATTTGCCCATACTTATGAATAAATTGTGATTTTATAGCTGATTTTTAAATGTCTTTTTACATTTTCCAATTACAGTTTATTAGGAAAAATGTAACTATACATTTTTTAAAACGTACAATTCTTTTAAGAGTTTAATGAAAACACTAAAGAAGCAAAAATAACACTAGTGATCCTACTTTTTGTAAAACTCTTTGGGATTAATTTATTTTTTTAATGTAACTTTCAATTTTAAGCAGTAATTGCATACCTAGTACTGATTATAGAAAAACACTAAGGAGTTAAACATCTAAAATTTTCCTGAGTATTATTATGTAATTGTCAGATGTTCCACTTGAACTTGAATTTTTGCATGGGGGATGTTAAAAATACAAACACAAAACAGAAATTTAATAAATTTGACACTTTGATACAATAAGATATTAAAGCCATTTATTTAACATTCTTTTATTTTGTTGATGTTATATGGCAAATGATCATAACTTTTTCAAGTCCAATTATAAAGTGGCTCCTGTTTTGGCTTCCTAAATCGATAGCTACTTAATCCCTTAGAGTAAATACAAAAGGCAGAGCCATTTTATTTATTTTGTTTTATTTATAACCTTTCTTGTTGCAAAGAAAGCTTGAGAAAATCTTTTAAAAATATAAATTTTAAATATATCATTTTTATTCCTCTTTCAAGGTGGCACCTGCCCTGTAGAAATTATTTTTTCAGTAGCCATCAATTTTTGACATTCGTTTTGGGTCATTTTCTTTCAACTATTTAACAACATTCTCTGCTTAGAGCCATTATCTTAATTACATGAGTTTCTTAAAATTTCCAGTTCTGGAGATTGTCAATATTTTATATTGACAAAATGATTGTCATGACAATCATTGTGTGTATATATATTATATATATATATATATATATATATACATAAAATGATATATCACTGTTTATGAGAATTATATATATATTATTCTCTTATTATAAATGTTGTAATTCTGTGTGACATTATTGCCTGTCTTTTATAAATTCATAAATATCACTTGAATTGTTCAGAGATTCTGACACAAACCAACGTCAACTTTAGGCTTCATTTTCTCACTTACTTGGTGACCCTGATGCAGGGAGTAAAACTCTCTATGCCTCAGAATTCCCCTCTGCAAAATGTGATTAATCATTCACTTACTTCATTCAGTTACTTTACTGGGTTTGCAAAACTAGTTACTTCATGAGAGAATGCATATACAGTACTTGGCACAGGATTTGGTATATAAGTGGTTGTTATTAATACTTATAATAATTTATAATAGAGCAACCATCCCCCATTGGAAAATCCAGGAATTTTTGCTAGCCAGTTTTTTTTTTTTTTTGAACCGCAGATCTCATATTTCACAATTTAATACTTGCACTGTTTGCTGTTCTAGATACTTAGTCTGAGACCCCCCCGCCAAAAAAAAAATCTGGGTATTTCATTGCTGACGGTGGTGGAGAGGTAATAATAGACAACATTTATTGTCGGTTTACTGTTGAGTCAGAATTGGGTTAAATGTTTTTCACGTAATTCTTAGTTAATTTTTACAGCAATCCTCTGTGTAGTGCATATTATTGTGATTTTTCTCAGCTTTCCAGGTGAGGAAATTGAGTATTAGAAAACTGAGTAACTGGACCCATGTAATCATATAACTCATTAGTGGCTGACATGAGATTTGAAACCAGGTGGCCTGAATGCCAACCCTGTAATCTCCACCACTTTGATTTTTCATCTTTTGGTTAATGTTCATGTCTGCGTCTATTTAAATAATTCTCCCCTAAGAACTTGAAACTCTACAAGACATCACTGTTCGACTCCCATT